AGAATTCTGGTGAACCTTTGATGATGTCTAAAATTTGATTTATTGGGTAGCAGGAACCATAGGCAGTAGCTCAGTACCAGCACACTTAGAGCAAACAGGAATTAAGAGGAAGTCCGCCTCCCTTTCTATCAGACCCTCTCATGCTCCAGTCTTCCCGAACCAGGACTCCACATCTATACGTTGTCTTTATTCCATACCCCAAAAATTAGGGCCCACCCCAGTCCACTCACCTCCATTCCTGTAAGGTGATTAGCAGAAACTGTGTGTGAGGAGGTACCTGAACTGAAGGGTAAGCATCTCTGCAGATCCAGTTATGGATTGTGACTGCTTGCATATGGGACTTCACCCAGCGGTTCATATAATCACCTCCACACAGAAAATTACTTTCAACATACCACCCACAAGCAGTTCCTTTGATAACCACCAAACTCTATCATACATAGTAAACTTAGTTTACTTGGCAGGAGTCCACGCTCAGATGTTTTGAAAAAACTGTTGATCGCTAGAGTTGTATGTGCTAGGTACATATTTAAGAAGTATTGCTATAAAAGCTGGGAATCATCATCTCTCCTCCAGTTATGTACTGCTATTTGGAAACCAGGTGAAGGTGCCACTACATAAATTCGGGAAATTAGACCAGTGCTCTAGATGCATTTCACTGGAGCTATGGATCAAGCACAAGTAGGAGTTTCAAAAACCGTGTCTCCTCACATACCAAATAAGCTACAAGACACCCAACGCAGCACTTTGTATTAGGCACTACAATTTAGTAACCTGAACTTTTGTCATTAAGGTTCCTAGATTGTAAGCACTCAAGTAAATTACTGGATCTAACCCAGAGAGTCATATAAAAATCAATATAAAAATTAAGTCAGGAGTAAGTATGATGCTTTAAGTTTATAACCTGCCTTATTTCAGGTAAACTTTCCATTGCAGGCTAGCCCTACAGAGCTGCTGAAATCTGCAAATTATAATTTCTGTTCTAGCAATACTGTGTATTAATTTAGTTTGCATGTCTTCTATTCTAAACAAACTGAAGCTGTTTAAGAAAAGCTATTGATGTCAAGAGTTATACTACCTGAAAAAGCAGTGAAAAAGGCTTATCACTTCAATAAAAGGACACAGTTAAGTTCATTTGTGTCAATACAGAATATAATGGTAAGAGCTATTTTTGAGTAACAACTCTGCAGGTGCACTTACTTCACAATGACTGCCACACTTGGGAGTTATTCTACAAATTGGCAAGCCCTAGAGATACAATATTATTGCTCTCCATTTGTGAATCTGAATTTAAACAGAAGTTTTACAGATTGGGATCACTGAATGGAATTCTAACAACATTTCAACTTTTTATTTGAAAGTTGGGAGGCCCCAGTGTGTGTAAATACTAGCCAGTGGTAACATTTTCCCTTAGTTTTGTAACTTAAAAAATTCAAACATCTCCAGTATTTTAGTTTTGACACTGTAATAGCTACACTTGGATGTAATAATGGTCATGAAGTAGACTTCTTTAAAGACTTACAAGGCTTCTCTTAAAACTTCTTTAGTTTTAACAGCCTAAATAGAGCAAGAAGAGGCATTTTTTGTAATATATGATTATTCTAAGGCAAACAAACCTGTAATTATTATCTGAGATGGACAATACAAGAAATTAACTGTACTGTTCTCTATAAATAAGCTTTCTATGATACACTTTTTTTTTCACATAGACAATTTCAAGTTCCCTTTCAGATAAGAAGCAACAGTTTACATATGCAACTCTAAAAAAAGTCCTTCTTCTTTAGTTAATACCTTTTCCTGAGTCTTACTATTTTGAGGTAAATTAGTTACTACTACTACCAGACTAAGGGAAGAGAGAATGCCAAGAAACATTCAGTCAAATAAATTACTTTTTTTGCTACTAAAAAATAGCAACATTTTTGTGTTTCACTTCAATATAAACAAGGCGGTCCTGAATACTGCGGTACAACAGCAGCAGCAGTACCCCTGAGATTATCTAATTTTATCACCTCAGCATTACTCAAGGGAAGCCAATGGAAATGCTATACCAGTAAATTGTTGATTAGCTCAGTCACACTAATCCCTGATGTAGCATGGCAACCAGAACATAAAATTTGCTTCATATTATTGGTGAAGAGCTATTACTGAAACTATTCACATCTACATACCCTTTATACTTGCACCTGAGAGACACACAGTTATCAAGTAAGCAGATTACAATTGCACTTCTTTCAATTTAGTTAATTGGTATGGAATGAAGATTTGACAACAAGATACAACTTAAAAATAAAGTTACTGCTATAGCACATGAATGAGCAGGACAAAACGCATGTGTCTGTACACATACACAAACACAGAGAGGTTTAGTAACTACTGGAAACAGGATTAAACTGAGGTTTCTGCCATGCTGTTACCTCCTCCCTGATTTCTACACTAGGTTCTATTTTAACCTTACAGCATCATCTGTAAGAATGCCTGACAGCTGCAAACTACTTCTAATCTCATTTTCTACTTTCATCTTTCATTTGTATTCATTTCTCCCCAGTCCAGGTTGTTCGTTATTCTTTACAATCTTATTAGAATTATTTAATAGACCAGTATAGAGCTAAAGGGCACTAAAAATAAGGTTTCCAGAAGTTCTATTACTGGCTTTTAGCCAAGATCTTCTTTGGCCTTGTATTTAACTCTTAGCATTTTTGATTGAACCCCAATAGTTTTTTCAGGACTTCTAGACACTACCGAAATAGTCATCTTTTCCTGATCCATAAGTGGATTAGTTTGTCTGAGCTTACATGGCGTAGCCGCCTGCAGCGCTGTGCCCTGCACGGGGGAGGCATGCACTTGCACCAAAAGCTGTCTTTCACTATAGTGTGCCTCCTTTCTAAACAAGGCTTTCGAGTACAGCTTCAGAAGATGTATGAACCATATATAGTCTTACAGTTTAAGACTCTGTGCCCTGCATTAGTCATGTTTTCTCACCTTATCCCTCCATTATTCCAGGTAAATAAGAGATGATTGTAAACAGGGGCTGTCTTTGTGCATGCATCAGACAGAACTCCAAATTCCTAGAGGAAGCTAAATAGTTAGTTTATATTTGGTCCCTAACAGTAAAGCCTAAGCATTTGTAAAGTGAAAAGAAGTAGTATCTGATCTACTTGCATCCACTAGTTTTCAATCAAACAGTAATTCACTGGTAGCCATCCGAAGCCAACCAATAAAACATGAATTTTTTTTCCTGTCCTCAGAATAGCCTTGAGGCATCACCATGTCAAAACTGACAGCCTCACATCTGCCTCAACTACCTATCTGCAATCCAGTTTGGTAGTGTTTAAGTAATTAGATTTTTTTATAACAGCAAAACAGCAACTTTATTTCATCTATTTTCTAGTGCATTTAAAAAAAATAATAAAACATACAGAAAGGTTGGAAGAAAATCCCTCTCTGCTTATACTGTCATTTTAAGGTTCTGTGGCTAACCACATTTCTCACCTAGTGGAATTTTAGCACTGTGGAGTCCAAACATTTGACTGTTTCACGTTACATTGGTTTTCAGTTCTGGTGTATGCTTTAAGCTTCCCACTTCCTTCTTCAGGACATTAAGCAAAGTTCTAGAACTATCCAAAATCTTCATGTAAGCAGCTTCAGTTTCAGCAAGAATTTTATCAAGCTCATTCCGTGAAGCTACCTTTTGGGCCAGGTTTTCACATACACACTCCAGTTGTTCACTCAGGACTTGGATTTCATGCTGGAGTTTATTCTTTTCCTCTTCTGCTTGCTGGATTTGTTTGTTCAGCTCTTCTTTTTGCATACACAAGTCTTCAATGCATTTCACTAGCTCATTGTTGTAACCCTGAAGAACAGCTCCCTGCTGAGTCATCCTCCACTCCCCTCCCCGAGCTCTACCAGTGCTCCCTCAGTCCCCTCTCAGCAACAGCCTTCCGCACTCTAAAAAACAAGACAACAAAAAACAGAAACGAAAATTCTGTAAGAGAGTTATCACGAATAATGCTACGCTAGCACAGACAGAGCCACGGGGAAAGATGCTTTGTTTAAGGTTAACATGCTAGTTCTGCGTTGTGCCACATCTCTTCCCTTTTCAGGAAGAGGGCAGGACAAAATTCGGCATCTACGCTCTACCTTTACTGAAAGCTGGCCTCTCCTGTGATACCGTCATAGCAATGCTCAACTGTGGTATCGCCAAATGACCCTTCTCCCAGGAGAAGGCTCAGCGGTCACCACCAGCAGCGGCATCCGCTCGGCCTCCGATGAGGGGGATCCTTCTCGCAAACTGAGCGCCAGGCATCCACTTCAGAGAGCCCGGGGCCACCTGAAGCAAACCGATCCGGCGCTGTTGGCTGCTCACGGGCGCCGGGATGACAATTTCACGCGCGTGCCG